TCAACAGAAACAATATGTTGACACAAACTGAAATTCTCTATCGGGGAAAATTTGTTTTCTACACAGGCTTCAGCTGGAAAAATTCTGAAGAGTCTCATAAAAATCTTGAATGCTAATAGAATTTTTTTCATTTAATAAATATTTATTGGGCACCTTTTAATGTGCCAGACACTATCCTGGGTGCCAAGGATACAAAAATGAATAAAACAGGCAACCCCCTTGCTCTCGTGATAGGAAGAACAAGACAGAAAATACATAACTGAATTTATCAGCAATAAAGCCATTTCAGACAGTAGTAAGTGGTCTGGAGGAAATGGACTGATGGGTAGACAACGACAGTGGGGTAAGGTAGAAAGGCAACCAGGGAAAGCTTCTCAGAGGACGTGACATCTGAGACTCGAAGGATGAAGGGATAAATGAAAATATGCCTGGCAGAGGCTCAGGTTGACTTCAGATTAGAGCTCTATTAAAGGGGAATTCTCAAAGCAAAAGATAAAAATCCACATCATGCCCAAGGAACGTGTATGAATTGGATGAGTTGCTTTTATACAAAACCGTACCCATTTTGGGTTTCTGTGACTCATTGTTACTTCCTGCATCACTTCACGGATCGAGTTCTTTCTCCAAAGCTGCCCAGCTAAACTGAGCTTAGGAAGGAACATTTCCCGTGCTCCAGTCTTGCTGGCTTTCTTCTCTGTGTTGATGTTGACAAGAATTTTGCAGTTAGAAGATCCAAGTGTTGCTTTGATGCCCCTGGGATGGGCTGTGTGGATGGGAGGGGGAGGAGGTGATATTAATAGAGATCTAGAGGGGAAAGAAAGCCATGTCTCTCCTGTCCTGGAGTCACCTGAGAGAGAACCACAGCGGCAGAGACCCCAACCCCTCCATGTAGCATGTTTGGGCCCCCTTGTGAGAAGCTCCCATTGTCCTGTCCTTGGGGTTATGGAGATCCTTCTCTGCAGAACCTAGCAAAAAGAAAAATAATTTGGTCCACTGACCCTCACTTTTCAAATTTAAATCTTATGTATTTATTTTCTAAGATAATACACTGGCATTGTTCCAAATTCAAAAGAACCAGGAGAATAGACAGTGAAAGTCACATGTTCCTGACCTGTGGGGCAGACAGGGATATGGGTTTCTTGGGTATCCTCCCAGAGATATTTTGTATATGTCTGCAAGCAAAAGGGGGAAGATAGTCTTTCTCCCATTTTGTCAATTATACAATGTATTAAACATGCTATATATGTATATAAACATGTTTATGCTGTATATATATGTACACACACACAATATAATGTGTTAGACATATACACAAAAAGCTTCCTAATTATTTTTATGGCTAAATAGTACTATACTGTTTATACTATATTTAATCAGCTCCCTATGGTTGGACCTTTAGGTTGTTTCAATCTTTTGCTTATAATGTGTGATGCACTAAGTCTCCATGTACATATGTCATTCAACATACATATGAGGGGCTGTGGGGTCTAAGGGTATGTGCTTTATAATTTTGACAGATAATGCCCAGTTACCTTTCAAGGAAGTCTCACTCCCACCATCAATGAAACATAACCAATTTCAGCCCAGCATCCATAGTTATCAGGACAAGATTTCAGTGTAAATCACTCTAGGTAGCTCATTTAGGAAACTGGTTGGTAAAGCCTGACACACAGTACCACAGAAAGGCTTTCCTGCCATAATTCGGAGTTCCAGAGAAAATCCTGGTGCCTCATCTTCAGGTGAATCAAAGCTCCCCCAAACTAGACCTTGCCAGCCCTTACCCATCTGCATCAACCGTGCTCCAAAGTCCTGATAAAAACTGTAACGTAGCTCCTAACTCACTTAAAATGGATGAGTGGTGATGTTTTGTAAGTTATGTTTTTATTTTGAAGCATATCCCGGACTGTGGCGTTTCACCCCCCTGTGTTGCATTACACATCTCTAAAAAACGACGGGCAGTTTAAGTAACCATTCCCATGATGCTATTAAAACAAAATTATCAGTCAAGGGGGGATGGGTTAGCCTGGTGATGGGTATTAAAGAGGGCACGTTCTGCATGGAGCACTGGGTGTTATGCACAAACGATGAATCATGGAACACTACATCAAAAACTAATGATGTAATGTATGGTGATTAACATAACAAAAAATAAAATAAAGTACTAAAACAAAAAAAAAACAGAGTTATCAGTCGTTCTTTAGAGTTACCTAATATTGCGTTTGCATAGCTAAATTTTCTTCATTAGCTCAAGAATATCTTCTGAAAATTATTTTTGTTCAAACTGGTATCCAAACAGGGTCCTCAAATCACACATGGCTGCCCTGTCTCTCTCAGTCTAGAGTGGCCCCCTCCCATCCTTTAGCCACTGCCATTGACTGACTGGAGAAATGAAGTCTGTTGTCTTGTCCAATGTCTCACATTGTGGATTTGGCTGTTTGTTTCCCTGTGGTGTCATTCAGCGGCTTCCCCCCCTTTCTGCTTCCTAATACTAAATGAAAGTTCGCACTGAAGGCTTGATTAGATTCAGGTTTGGTTTTATTGGCACGAATCATAGGTGGTTCTGCCCAATGATGCCTTTGACGTGATGAATTCCTCCTGGATGGCAACCTATCTTCTCTTGAGCTGCATTTGAGAACATTTTTATCAAAAATTTTTTTAACTGGCTTCCTGTTTCCTCTCTGTGACCACTTTCTAGAACCTGATCAATTGTTTGTCTCTGAGCTGATTAATAAGGACTATGAATTAGAGATGGGAAGACAAGAACCTGGCAGGCCCACACTTGGGCAGTGCCTGCCCGATGTTTCCCTGCATTCATGGTTCTCGGTAGGCCGATGTTGTCCAATAGAACTTTCCGTGATGATGGATTTCGTTTTGTATCTGTACTTTCAGTATGGTAGTCACTAGCCAGATGTGGCTAGCAAGCACTTGAAATTCGGCTAGTGTAAGGGAAGTTATACATTCTAAGTTAAATTTAAATTTAAATAGTCATGTGTGGCTGGTGGCTAACCAACTGAATGGCGCAGCTATTGTCATTTTTAAAAGACTTGAGGTGCAGACCGTTTCCACCTCCCTTGGGACCTAACTGCTGCTACTTTTTTTTTTTTAAGTCCTATTTTAGTTACTGAGAGTGACTCTTGCAGAGCTGCTCCTGCATTTAGTGGCAGTTCATGGGCTCCTAGTGAGCTACCAGTTGTACCAAATCCAAGTGGACATGACCCAGAGCAGATGATGGGAAGGAAGTCACCACTGCAAGACAAAACCAGACTCAGGCCCAGGTACTGGGAGCAGGGGCACATGCAGGAAGATGCTCCATGTACCAAAATGATAAGGAGTCTTTGACAAAATAGCAAATATGTAATTACCATCAGGATATGTGGTACAGGCTTGTTCTTAGTAGACGCATGAATGTAGACTTTGTCTGAAAAGAGTCTCAGGTGCCAATTTTTCTTTTACAACCATGTGCCCAACATCACTGCTGTTCTCAGTGGTAGAGACACAAATGTGGATATCATATATGGATGTGTTCAAACTGATGAAATAATCAAACACCTTCGATTTTGAAAGTATTGCACTGGGCAAGGGGATGGTATAAAGAACATTAAGACATGGTCTTTACTCAAAAGGAGCTTGCAGTCTACTAACATTAACATCCACTGTATATTTATTACGTGCTAAGCATCTTTCATAATTCTCCTTTGATCCTTAACACTTGTATATAAGAAAGGCATTCTTAGCCCCATTTTGGAGATAAGAAAGTTGAGGCCCAGCAAGGTTGAGTAAGTTACTAGTTCAAGGTAGCACATCGTACTCAAAGCATAGAGCCAAGACACACACCTGAGCTCAAGCTACCATTCTGTTTCTCCAGGACTATGGTAATTGTCTCCTGACACATCTTCACACTCATGCTTCCAACCTGCCCCCTAACCATGTCAGTGCTCTGCTCTAACCCTGCAGTGGTTCCCTCTCTCTCACCTGGAGTAAGAGTAAGGTCTTTATACGGGCCTACAAGAACTTATGTTACATACCTCTTACCTCATTGCCCGCTGCGTTCTGCCTCACTTGTTCTGCTCAAGCCACGCTGGCCACCTCAGGTTTTAGGGCCTCAGGACCAGTGGGTTGCTTGTCCAAGAGCATGTGTCACCCAGACATCCAAATGACCCATTCCATCATCTCCTGCAAGTAGCTACCTAAATATCACCTGTCAATGACACCTACCCTGAACATGCATCCTTATGTCTTTACCCCACTTTATTTTGACCTACATCACCTTCTAATAGAGTTTATAATTTACTTATTGTTGGCCACCACTCCCCTACACACACACACACACACACGCATGCACACACACACAAGTTCTATGAGGGTGGGATTCTACTCCCACACCCTCCACTCATTTGTTCAATGCCATTTTCCAAACATCTAGAACATGCCAGATACATAGGGGCTATTCAGTAGACATTTATTGAGGTGAGTGAAACTCATGTGTCCAATTTCAAAGCCACACTTAGCTATATTTTATATATAAACACATACCTACCTATTTGGGCCTGTTCAGTTGTCCTGGTTATTTTAAAATGTGTAAGTATGTAGAATCGTATAGGAGAATCAGAGCCACCTGTGCAAGTCTATGTCAAGCCGACTTCCTTTGGGTTTAAGATCACCTGACATAGTATTAAGGGAGCCGTCTCTTGTAGCTTCTTGTAACGCCAGAAGGGGTAGGGAATTGTGGACTTCGAGCTTCCACCTGTGAGGATACTGCCCCAGCACCCAAGTTTGGGGGAGGTGTGTGTGTGTGCGGGCGCACGCACGCACAACTGTGCTTGTTCTTAGCAGCCTTGTGGAAGACTGAGACAGCAGATGCTTAAGGACTTGGTACCTCAGCCCATATATGTAGTGAGTAAAAGAGCACGTGGTTTTGGAATTAAGCTACAAGTCTTGCCACCCCGCTGTTTGACATATTTAATAGAAATCGTATTTCTCTTTTTGGAAAAAAAAAATAGGTTATTCTTGGTGAGAATTTGACTTCAAATTGTCCAGAGGTTATTTATGAAATTAAAGAAGAAACACCTGTTTTCTACAAACTGGTTCCTCATCCTAAGAAGAATATCTACATCTATCTAACAGCCGGGAAAGAGGTAGGTAAAAATGCTAACTATTGCTTCTGACTTCTGAGTAAAAAGTGTTTAATTAATGTCATTATCTAGTAGTGAAGCTTTTACTTTGAACTATCGAGTTTAAACACTGCTGCAGGCTTCAAGAAGACCCGCAGTGGCTCACAGACATGGAATTAAAAACCTTACTGTCAGTGAGTAAGCAAGAAATATTACCTATTTAGACAATTTTATTATTGGCTGTATTTCCAATGCCAAGTTTTTCAGAAGAGGGTGTGCTTGCAAATGGGTGCATAATCAGCAAGGTAACTGAATTTACACATTTATTGTGTGGGCACTGAACGGTTAGATGCATTTATGAATATACCCAATGGGATTGGCTTTGGAATTTGGGGTTAATATCAGGCCACAGTCTCATACACATTCATGAACCAGGAAATATATGGCACTCACCCTCCCTCTCTTAATTTATCTGGCTGTTCTAGTTTATCTTCTTGCTTCTGCTTACTGAAATAAAGAGAATATCTTTTTCCATTTTCTTCATTTTTACAAAGTGCTTTCACCAAAGGAAGGAAAGAAAACTAATTTTTATTCAATCACTATTGACCATGTACTAGTTACTATTCTAAATATGGTCTCTCCATGTGCATAGAGCTGTGCTTGTGTACACACACACCTATAAAAACAATGTTGGGGAAATATGTTAATAATTTAATGAGATAAAATTACCCTTGTTTTATATATGAAGAGCCTAAGACTTAGGTTAGATCACTCGCTCGGGGTGTGTGTGTGTGTGTGTGTGTGTGTGTGTGTGTGTGTGTGTGTGTGTGTGTGTGTATATATATATGTTAGGCCTTGTCAGGTCTGGGACTTAAACTCTGGCCTGACATTAAAGCCCATGATAAACGAGATCAGATCCCAAACTTGTGCAAACTAGCAGCCTATTCTGGCATGGTAATTTGGACCCATGGCCACCAAAACATACAAAGTACAAAGGAAATCATTGAGACTTATGGAATGATATAATGGGATAACAGCGGCCCTTGGCCCACCCCCACTTTCCATTCTTTGTCTCTCGTTCTAAGGGGAATGACAATGATATCAAGCTACATGTGCTGTTATAGTCACAAGGTAGGTACACAAGCACTTTGTAGTCTCCAGAATTCCTAGAAAGGCCATATTGCCCTTTGCACGTTGCAAAGTCAGTTATGTCAGAATGACCACATTGGGAGGGACAGTGGACCTGGTCTACATTGGTAAACCAGTTGTTCACCCTATAGACTCTTCCTGAGCGGCTTGTTTCACCACTCAACACTCTCCATTCTATTTCTTCCCTGGGCTTCCTACACTTGAAAGATTTTTGTCTGCTCCACAGACTGCATGTATCAAGTAACTATTCCCATTCCCAGGCTTTATTTATCAAGGGCATCTGAAAACTGCCAGCCGGGGAACAGACTGTGCTACCACACGGAGCTGATAAAATTCCAGCCCAAAGCAGAGACTCTTGAAGTCTTGCTTGGCCCATGCATGTTTTTTCCATTCAACTTTTTGAAACATTGTGAATACCTCATAAATTCTCATTACTACTTTCCTTGGAACTCAAGACTCTAATCTGGGAACCACTGGGAGAGCCACGGATAGCTGACAGGTCCTCACTTTCGGGAAGGTAAAAACTGCTTAGCCTCTTGTCATTCAAAGCCTGAGGTCCTAGGGAGAGTTTTTGACTGGGCATCAAAGCCAGTTATTTGTACATTCTTCACTTAGGTTTACTGCTGGGGATCCTATTAGTAAGATTCTGGTTGAGCCAGTATAATCCCTAGAGAGGCAAAACCTAAGGAAGGTTCTTTCCCAGACTCTTGGGGAGATAGTAACAGCCAAACTAATATGCCCCGGTACATCCATAGAATATGTGGCCATTAAAAATAACCACATGAAGATTTATGCATTGCTGTGGAATAGTCACTATAATGTGTTATTAAGTTAGAGAAGCAGATCCACTGTAAGTACTTACAGTGTTCTCTCTTTTACATAGAGTTATGTTGTTTGTGTGTTTAAGTACACTGTATAATGGTTCTCACAGAATGTTCTAGAGACTCATATTCCACTAAGTGTTCTGGGCAAAAGTGGCCCTCGGAGGAGATGTTATTGACTCTACCCCTCCTAGAGTATCATGAAGCTCAGCATATTCAAAGGCTCTCAGAAGCCTTGTTCTAAGGAAATCTATTTGCCTTTTCAATATAAGGTTTCACATGTTTGTTGGACTATGGGATCTTTTCCTCACACAATAGCAATAGCCAACATTTATTGAGCACTTAGTATGGGCCAGACAGTGTAATAACCCCATGGAGTCAGCAGCACCATCACCATTTCACAGATGAGAAAACAAGGTTAGAGAGATTATGTATTTATGAACCGCCCCCCCCCCCAGCATTAAAAAGATGTTGTGTAAGCTACAAGGAAAGAGCCACATTCTGGTCAACTCTGGCTCAGGCTGGTGGTCTGCCCCCACATCTTTCAGCAACACTGAGAATGTGAGAAATGGACAAGTGTATCCTCCATGAAGTCAACTTAGAATTGAGGAATACTCCTCAGGATAGCCTATTTTCCTCACCAACCCTTTCTAGAACTCTCCGTTTCTCTAACCTTTTAAAGAAGTTACTTCTACCTTCTAGCATGTACAGCTTCCTGGCTTAATGAGTTCTGCAAGTTTCCTTACTACCTGCTGTGGGATTTTGCCTGCAGAAAATGTGCCATGAGACACTGGGGTCCTCTCTGCCTCCTGCCACCCCACTCCCAGGCTCTGACGGACTGTCTCAGATGCCTGGGTCTGCCCAGCACGGGCACCTGCTCTGTGAGGTTGCCGTTTCCTGACAACTGGAAGAGGCAGCTCGAGGGGCAGGCAGTGATTTGAATACTCCCCGTTTCTTTTCTTTTCAACTCCAGCGGAGGGAATTCGAGCAAGCGAGCCAGGAGCTGAAGCGATGGAGTTACCCTGGTGGGGGTGTGGGATTCTCCTCATGTCCATGTCCAGCGCCAGCCTTGTGCTGACACTCCTGGGTCAGAGCCTTTGCCATCCCCAGATGCTCATTTCCAAAGCACCACTGACCATACATCAGCTGTCTCTGTGTGAGGACCAGGTGACCTGATTCCATGGCCCCTTTGGAAATCATTATTAGCCGGTCAGAAACCTGACTGCGTATCAGACTCACTTGGGAGAGCACCGGAGGATACAGACTCCTAGGCTGGGTCCCAGACCTACCGGCAGGAGTCTCCGCAGCGGGGGCAGCAGGGTATCTGGGGATCTGCACTTTCAAAAGCTTCCCCAGGGGATTGTGAGGACTGCTGCCCCATGTCATTACGGAGACATTCCGAGTTCAAGTTGATAAATGTGCTCTTTGTGGCCCTTCATCAGATAAGGTGTTGCCGTTTTCCTGGTGTTGCTTATAATTCCGTCTGAAGCGCCGCGGTCTTTATTTTTAGGTGAGGAGAATTCGTGTTGCCAACTGCAGTAAACATCAATCCTGTACGGAGTGTTTAACGGCAGCAGACCCTCACTGCGGTTGGTGCCATTCACCACAAAGGTATTTCCTGATTCTTTCTCACCAACTCACTTTTGGGGGGGGGGGCGGGGAAGGATTATGCGGCAGAACACTTGTTGCCCTGCTTTGAGGACCCGTTCCAGTGACCTGGGGGAACTGAGCTCTTGGCTGCCGACTGAACTACTGTGGGGTAATCATCATTCCCAGCGATGTTCCCAGCTGTGCCAGTGCCGCGAGCCGGTTGGACCGGAGCGCTCAGGGTTGCCCAGTCTGGGGGTGGGCGCGGGCCGGGCAGCGACAGAAGGAAGGAGAGGCTGGAGATGTCAGCTCTCCTTGTACTTTTTCTCCAAGACTCCGGGGAGAGAGGCAAAAGGTTTTCCCTCAGAGGAGATAAAAGAATAGGGACGTTTGAAAATTTTCATCGGGATCCTCATAATGTCTCGCATGTGGTTGGCTCGGGGGAAGCCTCGTTATTGATGGTGCTGTCTCCTAGTGCGCCGTACAGCTTGCGGGCCTGCGGTGAGATCTGGGTCTCCGGGCACAATGGGCCCAGCCTGGTCTTGAATTACGGTGGTCAGGACCCATCCAGGCTCTGGGGCGACTTGTAGCGGCTTCCTCACCGCCTAGGCAGCTCCTAGCGTCGCTGGGACCGGCCTGGTTGGGTTCGCTGTTGATGGTGCTGTCTCCTAGTGCGCCGTACAGCTTGCGGGCCTGCGGTGAGATCTGGGTCTCCGGGCACAATGGGCCCAGCCTGGTCTTGAATTACGGTGGTCAGGACCCATCCAGGCTCTGGGGCGACTTGTAGCGGCTTCCTCACCGCCTAGGCAGCTCCTAGCGTCGCTGGGACCGGCCTGGTTGGGTTCGCTGTTGCCATGGCAACCCCAGTACCCGCGCTCCCGCTACAGAAGCGAGGAGGAGAGCGCCTGAGCTGTATAGCTCGGGCAGGGAAAGAAAGAAAGAAAAAAAAAAAAACACAAAACCAAACCATAACAGTGTCTGTCAGTTTGGTGCTTTCAGTTTTTAAAGGTGAAAAAGGATAAGGAGGAGTAGAACAGGGGCAGAGAAGCCGAAGGCTGAGCAAGGGGGGCAGTTTGGGGAAAAAAGAGAGGACTGGGAAGAGAATTGGGGGGCCTCTGGGGACGGAAGCCCAGGGCAATGAAGGGAGAGGGCGAGAACGAGGTATAAGCAAGAGGTTCAGGAAACAAACTAAAAACGTGGGGATGGAATTAATCAGGAGTTCCCGGAGGAAGCCGAAAGCTGCGATGCAGCAAGAGGCATACTTGCCCTTGCCTTTTGCTGCGCTTCCTCACGGGGCTGTTGCCCTCAGAATCACTGGCAGACAAAAGAAGCAGGGCTGGGAAAATGCTCGTGTATAATTGTAATTGGGTTGGAATGTTTCCTTCGTGTTGCTTGCCCGAGTCTAGAGTTTAAAGAAATTAACTGATCATGAACAGCATTTCATCGTCACACACCCACTACACAGTTCTGCGGTATTCTTTCCCACCTGTTCCATTTAGGTAGGTTCCCTGTCTATATCTGCAGAGCTCCCTGCAGGGGTTAATTCGGTAGCAGTGGCCAGGATTCATTAGCCACGCGGAGCTAGTGGCTACTATTTTGGCAAACACAGGTCTGGAGCTCATGGGCAAGGTGTCCGGGCTGGTGAGATGAATTTTGGGGGTTAGATGTGTCTAGATGGGATGTAAAGAAGCCTGAAGACCAGACAAGGGAGGCCACGTCGACTGAGGGGAGCAGTAGTTGGGGAACTGAGCACAGAGGTGGTGCAGTGGTTGGGGGTCAGGGAGATGAAGAGGGGGAGGGAACAGCCAGAAAGGGAAGAGGAAAGACTGAAGAAGGTGGCTTCCATTATGCCAAGGCAAGAAAGGAGGGAGCAGTCTGCTGTGCCAGATGGTGCTGAGAGTTTGGGCAAGAGAAGAGAACTGATCCACTGGACTTAGCAGGTGATGATTGGTGACCATGACAGGGGCCGTTGTGGCAAGTGGTGCTAACGCTGCCAGAGAAACTAAGGAGAGAGCAGAGCAGAGACAACTCTTCAGAGGAGCTTTGCTGAGGAAAACAGCGGAAAGATGGAGCTGACACTGGAGGAGAAAGTAAAATCCAGAGGGTCTTGTTGTTTTTAAGATGCATGAAAGCACACTGTGCTTTGGGGCTATTGGGGAAGTTCCAGTAGAGAAGGGGAAACTGATGGTGCAAGAAAGAGAAAGGGCGGTTGCGCAGTGTTGTGTCTCAGAAGATGAAAGAAAATGCGATCTAGCGTCCGCGTGGGGAGGCAAGCCTCGGGCAGGAGGTGCGCAAGTCATCCTTGGTCACAGGAGGGAAGGTGCAGAACGTGGGTCCTGGGGCAGGTGGGTGGGGGAGGTGTGTGCAGCATCAGTTTGTATTGCTTACGGTCATGTTCAGTGACTTCAGACCAGTGAGAGTGAGGTGGGGGAGGAAGTGCTGGAGGTTTGAAGGGAGGAGTGAGAGAAGGTAGGAAAGAGAGCTGGACAGAGAATGGAGATGGGAAATACAGAATGATTGCCAGGTAGCAGGGGGGTCCCGCTGAGGACAGCGGTCTTGCTTTTGAAGCGAGAACACTCAGTGTGGTTTTGCTTTCGAAGTCTGCATTCAGCTCTGCTGGTGTAGTCATAGAGTTGGGGAGAGCTAGATTTAGCAAGGTAGGACTTTGCAGGAAATACATCAAGAGAGGGGAGAGGGGCCTAGGAACTGAGGGTGTATCCAAGGGATGGACGATGGTATTGACATGGATATTTTTACTTAAAGTAGTGGACTCTGGGCTCTCAGCTGGACGTGAACTTCAAGGAGGGGAGTGAGGGATGAGAACAGGGGGCAGGATCTGTGCGTGGAAGGTTGTGGTTGGATTTAAGATTTGTTGGAACTGGGGAACCGGAAGGGGTAGTAGCTGGACTGTAGGGAGGTCGTGGATGGGGTGGTGCTATTGGTAATGACAAGGTCTAGGGTACGGTTGTGTCCTTGAAGAAGGATGGAAGACAAGATTGTTGGCAGGGAGCGGGTCAAGGAACTGAGGTAGCAGAGTGTTAGATCCATCATCTGTTTGGAAATTACAGTCCCAAGACTGACTGTGGAAACAATGTTGGAGGAAAATAGTCCAGAAAAGGAAGGAATCGGCAGGGGTGTGGGGTGAGCTGTAGACGGTGGCAACAAGGAGGGCTTCGGGGTGGTGTGGGCTGATGGCGTGACTGCCTGAGCTTCCAAGCTGGGGCACAATGGGGGGGGCAGGCTTGGAAAAGGGGAGGAAAGAAGCATCCAGAAAAGGCAGCAGGACACAGGCAGGACACTTAGGACGAGTGAGAGGAAGCAGCCAGCCCCTGAGCTGGCTTCGCGCAAACTGTACCCCCAGGGGAGAGGCTGGTTTTGTAAGCACAAGAAAGTAAGGGCAACGGTCAGAGAAGAGGCTGAAGACACCGGGGCATTTAGTGATGACAGGCTAGGAGTTCTAGCTTCCTATAAAACTAGGACTCAGGCTTCCCCTGGTTCTCCTCTTGCTCCCTCACCCCTGCCCCAGTACTCTCCGAGATGAAGGGTGCTTTTTAAAATCTAAACCAGGTCATGTCATTCCCCACTTTAAAACCTGCCCTGGCTTTCTCTCTTGGAATCCAGTCTGACTCTCTTACTACAGGACCTACATACATTGTCTGACCCTTCTGTGCCTCCCATGCCTCCCTCCCTTCTGTTCACTCCACCCCACCACACTGGCTTTCTTTCTGACTTAGGACTATACCAGGCTTGTTCCTGCCTCTGGTACTTTGCCCTTGTTATTGCCTTAGTCTAGAATATTCTTCCCCAGATCTTTCTGTGGCTGGCGCTTTCCCGATCACCCAGTCTGAAGTGGCCTCACCTCACTCAACACCTCACTGTTCTATTTTCACCACGGCCCCATCCCTGGTCTGAAAACATCTTATTTCTCTGCCTCTCTTGTTAAAATGTAAGTTCCACGAACAGGGGGTCCTTGTCTGTCTTGTTCACTACTGTATCCCCAGAGTCTAGAACAGTGCCTGACACAGACTAGATGCTCAAAAAATATACGTTAAGTGAATGAAGTAGATTGAGTGATTGAGAAACTCTACCAGTGGTGGGTTGAGACTTGTGCATTAAGTAATATAGAACATTCTAGACTGATGGCCCTTCCCCGCCACATCAGATCACTTGGTTTAAAACTGGCTTGATTCTGGCCTAAGACGAAATAAAACTAAGCCTCAGATCTGTGACTCATTGAGTTCCCAGTACCATTCAAAATTAGGAATTCTAAAGGGGGATGTTTTCTTATAACTGTAGAGCATCCCACTGTGTTTATTTTAAATGTCACAGATTTATTTAGAAAAACAATTTATTTTCCCTTTTGAGAAGGTTGAGCTTTCTTGCATATGTGTCTAGAAAATGGATTTGTTGGGAGCGGGGGGTGGGCAAGAAAACTATCTTAACTTCCTTTTGATCGGGTGTTAAGAATAGGCATCTAGTATAAGCAGATAAAAAGCAATTAGATAAACAATGAGCTCTAAAATGTCTAGTATTTTATTGTTGGAACCTCAAATCCAACCTGTGCTGAATTTGTCTGTGTGGGTGGAAAGCGAATTTTTGCAGGCTGAATATCTTGGGTTTGGAAGCAGTTTCTCAGTTTCTCCCATATTGCAAAGCATAGCACATGTGTTCAGTTATGGATTTCCACAAAACTGGCAATCCTGAACCAATGAACGGGTGAGGTTCCAAAAGTTCATTTGCAAGTTTGTTTGGCACTCAGAATACATTTTCCCATAGAAACAATGTCATAAATTAAGGACTCAGTCCCAAGCCAGCCCACAAAATCCAATTTATTTGGTTTCAACAAATATTTATCGAGTATCTACCAAGAACGCAGTGTGGGAAATGAGACAGCTAGGTGTTGCTGAGAGAAATCAGATGCCATTCTTGGCCTGAAGGAATTCACATGCTAGCCATGTGAATAGCCCACATGCATTCATTCAGTCATACATCCAACTGACCAATATTTATTGAGCACCTGCGAT